ATGATTGAGGAAAGCAACTCTGAGAAACCACACAACTCCAAGCAGAGCCAAAGTCCTTTACATTCTAAGCTCCAGAAGGTCATTGACTCCTCTAGCCCTTTGCAAATTCAGCTGAAAAGTGCAGCCTCAGTGGTCAGCCTAGCTGGAGGGGCTGGCTTGCTCTGTGGTAGGGGGCAGCCACTCTTGCCTGTATGCCTGGGGCACAGTAAAGAGAGGAGGAGATGGAGAGAAGGGAAGAGAGGGGATGAGAAAGTGATGGAGAGACAGGCAGAGACAGAGAGAGAGAGATGAAATAGGAAATCCCACTGAGAGACACAGCAAGATAACAGGATGTGCTTTGTAAGCTCAAGGTCCGGAGTTGAATCTTAGGTACCAAAAAAAAAAAAGGATGGAGGCTTTCGACCGAAAGGATGGATCCTGCAGCTTGTGAACCAAGCAGATGATCTCTGGGGTAGAGGGGAGGAGAGGGCTCCAGCCCAGGAAATTCTGCAAATATGTGGGCAACTGGACTACAAGCCAGGCATGCAAGCATCCCCCCTCCCCAAGGCAGAGAATGCAGCGAGGCAGCAGGACCTCCCACCTGAACTCAGACTGGGATTTGGGCCTCTCTGGACAGCAGATGGGCGGGCCCCTGCGGAAGTCTGTCTTTAAGGGTTGAGGAACCTCTGGAGAAACATTCATTTTGAATGAAGACAAAGCCCAACGTGAACAAAGCCCACTGGACTGAATCTTCTGCTGGGCAGGACGTCTGAAAACAAACTGCAGATGAGTGCACCCTCTCACAGGTGCGAGGTGCCCAGTGTGTGTGACTTGCTCTGAAATGAAGCAAAGAATGGCTGTGGCTCCTTGTGGGCATTGGTGGGACTGGTCCTGCAGGAAATGGAGGGCTGGTGTCCAGGAGATCCACATGGACGCCCTGCAGTGGCTCTGGGCAGGAGGAGGGTGCTCCTGGCACAAGGGACACTTGCTGTAGCTCCAGATGTGCAGGGGCAACATGCAATGGAGTGAAGCCCCTTGTGGGTTGGCAGAGGCAAACACTAAGGAGGCCTGGGTGGCAATTGCTCACAGGCCCCAGTTTCATAGGCAGGGACTGTGGAAAGCTGAGCTCTGGGAAAGCACAAAGTGAGGGTCTCTGTGGAACAGCTGCCAAAATAAGAGCCGATACCTCCCTGCAGAAGCCCAACATGGAGACCTCTGAACTGGCTGAATTTCCTCCCCCTTCTAGCAAGTTTGACAAATTCCAAGTGACCCTTGGGTCAGGGCAGGGTTCCTTCCCAGACCCTTACCTCTCTCTATACCTGCCTTTCTCCTGCTGACGAAGCCCTGTGGGCAACCTGTGCCAGGTGCAGAGGTGTGAGCAAGAGGGGAGAAAGGAAACAGGAAGTCATCTCCTGGGCCAAGAGAGAGCGGAGGCTTTGAGTCAAAGACACAGAGACAAACGAACGCAGACCACCACCTTTGTTTCCTTAGGGTTTGTTGTCTTTTCTGGATTATCAATAGAAAAGGGCAAATGTTACTTTTTCAAAACCAAATAAAAAGTAAGTGTACGTACACACTTTTGCACAGTCTGTGTGGCTCTTCTGAGTTGCAGGTGCTTTTTCTTTTGTCATTTCTGGATGTCTGACCATATTATGCAATAAACAGGAGGCAAAGAGGACGCCCTGCCTGTCTGATAGGAATAATGGATGTAGCTAGGCTGTCCAATTCCACCGTCTACACTTCTGCCACTCCATGTGGTGGAAGGAGACCCATCAACCTATTTTCCTGCTCACCTCTCCCTGGCCGAGGCTCATCCAGAGAGTGTGATTGACAGCCCCAAAGGCTCCAGGGTGACTATTTGAAGACGGGTGCGTGAGAGGCCTCCTCCACCTGTTACTCTTTTCTTTATCACTTCACATCCATAGGGGTCCCTAAGCCCGAGGGAAGGGTCAAGTGCAAATCTGGTAAACCAAGAAGCCCCAGCAGTTGTCCACTTAATTAGCCTTCAGGAAAAATATATGGCTATATGAGCACAGCAGGGTTGCTATAGAGACAGGCACAGGAGGCACATTTAGAACAGGGCCTCATGGCATCACCCGATAAAAATAAGGCCGAGGCTTTTTAATAGAATGAATTACTTAAGCTTTATATTTAACAGGGGACGACACCAAGGCTATTACCGGTTTTCAGAATATTTTAGGAATCCGGGCTGCCTGCTTCTACATATGTTAACAGCCGTCACAACGTATGCTGCAGTGCACAGTGGTTCAGAACTGGAAGCCATGTCTCCTCCACCCCAGAGATGAGAAATGGTCCTTCTCACTTGAGAGTTTGTGCTTCCCTAACTAGGAGAGAGATTGCCAGTGTATTCCAGAGGACAGGCCGGGGCAGAGGTGCGCTGTGCCTTTGCATGCATGGTCGCTAATCACTATAACAACCCCAGCAAGATTTTTGCTTGATGACAAACGTGAGGTGCAGAGAGGTCCATTAACTTCCCAAGGCTGCACAGCTAGTACATGGCATTGCAGTCAAGGTATCCTCACTCCCAAGCTGAGGGCGTTACAGGACATCAACTGCAGTTCTGCACGGAGAGGAGTCCCGGTGAGGTGACCCTAAGGAGATTTACCACTTTTATCAGTGGACCCTACAATGTCTTTTTCAAAGACAATCCCAAAGTAGAGGGTTCCAAGAACCATTCCATGAAGATCTGATCCCTGCTGATGACCTCTCCAACTGCCCAGAGTAAGTGTTAGTTCTGGACCACCTTGCACTGGTCAGCTGTCTGTTACTTGATAGAATCAACATGGAAGGAAGAAAGATTTATTTGTACTTATAGTTTCAGGATTTTCAGTCCATGGTCACTTGGTCCTGTTGTCTAGGGCCTGTGGTGGCCAGCAGATTATGTGGGAGCCAGCATGTGGCAGAGAGAGAGAGAGAGAGAGAGAGAGAATGCACGTGGGAGAGGCTGGTGTCCTGAGATCCCCTCGTGGGCAAGCCCCCATTGACTGTTTGTGCCGTGAGGTCCCACATCACAGAGGTTTCCTTCCCCTGAGGACCAGGCCTCCAGGGGGCATTACCTGTTTTATCCAATCTCATGTCCTTACCTTCCAACATGTTTCTGGGCTGCCCCTTCCCAAGCCTGGATGACAGGCACAGTCAGGCCAAGTTTCCAAACTAAGCACAGGTGAGACAGGGTCCCCAGTGTTCTCAGACACACAAAAGCTTAAAAACATCAAGTCACATTGGCGTTCCAAGGCAAAGTTCCTTGTGCTGACAATTTTGTCTTTGGATTATTGATGATGCTATTGCTCTAGAAAGAGCTTCCAAGACCCCTTTAAAAATTTTTTTTCTAGAAAAGGCCTATGCAGCAGATTAAATCTCTGCCTGCGAGGCACCAGTCTTTCCTTTTCATGGGAAATGGCACACTGGTGAGGAAAAGTTTAGCATATGGCAGCGGAAGTGATGGGGACCAGGAGGACAGTGAGGAAGTGGGGCTCAGAGGGAAGGACAGGAGTGAGCAGGGCAAATGAGTCCCTCCCCTTCAGTGTGCCAGCAGGGGCAAGGACAGGAGATGCGAGGGTTCACAGAATCCTGGAGAGTGAAGCCAGGGCAAAGCTGCAACACACAGCTGGATGGCAACACCATGCAAGCATCAGTTCAAATGAAGGCAGCCGAGGGACAGAAGCCGCAGACCAGGAGCTGGGACCCAGGCAGAGCAGGGGCCTCAGGCCTGCAGCCCTGGGACCAGCTCAGGATGGTCAAGCCCACCGTGCTCCCCCACACACACTCAGCACCTCCAGCCCGGCACAGTGGGTACTGAGAGCCGAAAAGGTGACTTCAACCTCAGAGGTGCAGTTCCTTCTTATATTGGCATAGCAGTTCGTGAGGGCTTTCATTGCTGTTTTAAAGAGACTTCTGCTTCATTAAATATATAATCTATTTAAAGTAATATGAGAAAAGAACAGGGGGCATGGGAATAACTATGGAAATATTTTTATATTTAATTTCTAACTATAACACAAGCCTAGCAAAAGTTAGCTGCAGATGCGTGAATTCTATGTATATCAAAGGCATCTGATAAGCTATTTTTTAACAGATGAATCATTTTGTGCGACTGAAATAGTTCCCCAAGGTGCCCTTGCTGTATAACAGCTTAAACGCACTGGAAATCCCACTTCTGCTACAAGCAACAGCACTCATGGCCTGGGACTTCGGCAGACCGTGGCCTGCGCCTCTGCACAGCCTGCTGTAGTGACTCAGGCAGGCCACGGAGCCCTCTGAAGTAGAAATCGTCAGCCAGATGCCAGGGATGCGCTGAGCTCAGAGAGTGGTCAGGACGGTGAATAGGGAGAGAAGCGCCCATCCCCCTCCTCCCTCCATGTTTCTGCCCCATCTCCGCGCTTCCCCTCCACCTCCACCTCAGACACTCTCTGTGTCCAAGAGGAAAGGAGCTCGTGGGGTGCGCTGTCGCCAGCTGCCACGCCCCCGTCCCTCTTTACCCTTCGCCCTGTGAGTGAGCAAGTCAGGAATGCCAGGCCGAGGACTGTGCCCGGTCTGGGTCCTGGGCGGCCTCTGCTCCGTCCCTGCCCCCAGCCAGCTCCCCCTCGCCCAGAGATGCCCCTGCCAACTTCATTCCTGCCCCATAGCTGGGATGACAGCGGCTCCCCGGGGAGCCACACAGGTTAGGGTTACAGCCCCGGGGAGCCACGCTGGGCTGAGGTCAGGTGGCTGGGCTGGAGGAGGGCGGCTGCGGACTGCAATTCTGGGCCAGACCAGGCGGAAGCACGGGGTAGGTGATCGATCGGACAGTGACTCCGGAGCCATGGTCCCCACCGCCCGCAGCTCAGCCTGGGTCCCTGTGCTCGCACGCCGAGCGCCCGAAGCAGGTTTTGGTTTCATGTCAGCAGCCTTCATCTGCCTTCCAAAAATAAGCCCCTGCCGCCATGCCGAGGGGAGAAAAACAAGAAGGGCGGTATTTTTAGGGCCATTAATTCTGACCACGTGCCTGAGAGGCAAGGTGGATGGCCCTGGGACAGACGCTGCTCGGCACTATGTCCCGGACAGCCAGCCGCCCGCAGTGCACTCTGCAGGCTCTCGTCCTCCTCAGCGTCCTGCTGGGCATGGTGGTGTCCTTGCCGGCCAGCCGGCCACGACTGGACTCCAGGGGCTGGAGCACCCTGCTGTCCAGGACTCGCGCCCGGCTGGCCGGGGAGGTCGCCGGAGTGAAGTGGGACAGTGGGTATTTAGTGGGCATCAAGCGGCAGCGGCGGCTCTACTGCAACGTGGGCATTGGCTTTCACCTCCAGGTGCTCCTGGACGGCCAGATCAGCGGGACCCACGAAGAGAACCCCTACAGTGAGTGCCAGCCGCAGACCCTGGGGGGCTTGGGGCCGGGCTCGTGCAGGGCTGAACAGTGGAAGGCCATGCTCTGGGGGACGGGGCCCTACTCCAGAGAGGCACAAGTGGTGTGCACCCTCAGAAAGCTGAATCTGGCCCTGCCTGTGTGCAGGCTCAGGATGCCAAGCACCACGCATCCTGGTGCCCTTCACCAGCCTGCAGCCTGAGCTGCAACAGTGTCCTGGGGCCTGCTGGGGACTTCAGCCTGGGGAGCCAGTGGGCTCTGGTGGGGAGACTGAGTCTGATCCTGGGACTGAATTAGGCATGAGCTTGTTCTCACCCAGCTCCCTCTGAAAAGGAGGGATTCCAGGGGAATCTCACCCTTTCAGTCAGTCGTCTCCCTCGGTTCCAGACCCTCCGCGCCCTCCAGGCTGACCAGAAGCTCTGAGGGTCACGTCCTAACAAAGCCAAGTGCGGGTGGGGCCGGCGGGCTGCAGAGGGCTGCACTGCTGTGGGATGTGTGAGATAAGATGGGTTGAGAGTAGCTGGAAAATGCGAGCATTTATTTTAAAAATAACAGTGAGATGCCATGTTTTGGACCGTCAAGGACCTGGGGGGATTAAAGTGAGTGAACAGCCAGATTCAAAGCTAACCCCAAGCAAACATGTGAGGAACCGGGCCTTCCGACGCGGACGCAGAGCTTTCCCTGACGGAAGTGTGCGTCTAATGGGGCGGCTGGGCAGGCGGCCGCCTGCAGGAGGAGGGCAGATGGGTGTCCTGCGGGCGGCCCCTCTGACCGCGAGCCTCCGTGACACTGCCCTGGTCCCCTCGTCAGGCCTGCTGGAAGTCTCCACCGTGGAGCGCGGGGTGGTGAGCCTCTTTGGGGTGAGGAGCGTCCTCTTCGTGGCCATGAACAGTAGAGGAAGACTGTATGCAACGGTGAGTGCACCTGTCGGGGCGCTGGGCTGCTCGAGGCCTGGCGCCTGTGCCGCTGAAGAACGCGGTGCAAAGGCAATGGGGAGAAGCAATCTTTGAGAGAAGAAGCGAGAGTGGAGAACACAGCCCTTGCCAAGGCGGGGCCTGAGCTCACAGTCAGAGCCGAGGTTCTGCTCCCAGGTCTGCCGTCCCCTGTCCTCTGCACTCTGGGCGCTAGAACAGGGAGGTGCCAGGAGCACAGCCTCACCCTCCTTCTGCCGCAGTCCCAGCCAGGGAGGGTACTGGCACCTGAGCCCCTCTGTGACACCTGGCTCTCTGGGCACACGGTCGGCCTATTCCAAAATATGGGTTAGGAAAACACCTGGATGGAGCCGGCCAAACCAAGTCCTTTGAGCAGAAATGAGGAGTTAGGAAGGAAGTACTCAAAGCAGCCCAGAGTTTACCAGTGTTATCTGTGGAGAGGGTGCAGGCTCTGGGAGGAACAGAGGACAAGAGGTAAGAAGCAGAGGGCCGCTGGCACATGGCATGGCCAGGGTGCCCACGGCCACTGTGCCTGGCTGGCCTGGAGAGCAAACAGAGGGGTCGAATCAGTGCGTCTCCAGCGCAGTTCTCTGAACAGTCTGCACCCATATCACCTCTGTTAAAAGTATGGGCTTCTCAGCAGGGCGTGGCGGAACATGTCTGTAATCCCCACACTTGGGATGCTGAGGCAGGAGGATCACCATGAGCTCAAGGCAGCCTGGGCTACACAGTGAGATCAAGGCCACATAGTAAGAGCTGGGCTCAAAAAAGAAGAAAATGTGCCTTTTCTGTGTGTGCGTGTGCAGGGCTGGGGTTGAATGCAGGACCCCATGAGTGCCAGGCAAGTGTGGTACCCTGAGCATTTATACGCATCTCCAGAGACTCCCTAAGAGATTTCTTATTCAGTAGGGTTGCAGGCTACAGAGCTGTCTGGTTTGTTTGTTTCAATTTCTCAGGCACTTTAGAGGCACAGGCAGGCTTGGGGCCCACCGGGCTACAGGGCCTCTGGGGGACAGGGAACCACGCTGCCCAGGGTCACCTGGCCCTGAAGCTAAGGCCTGAAACTTGGGACCCCAGGTGCCTTTCACCATTCTCTGAGAAAGTACAGGGAAGAAGGGGAAAGCCTCCCACCACAGCCTCCAAGGAGCCCTGCTCACAGCCTGCACAAGCCTTGCTGGAAGCCCGCTGAGTGTTGCAGTGGCTGGTGGAGGCTCCGTGCCGGGCCTCGAGACACAGAAACTCCTATTCCTTTCACCTTCGCTGAACAAATGAGGCAGTGTTTCTTTCTGCTTCCCTGAAAAGGCATTCAGCTGTGGAGAGGGAAAGGGGCACAAATTCAGGGTCACTTGACCCAGTTTCCACTTGACCTCCTGGCGCTGGGGTGGCCTGGAGATGCTGCCTGTGAGGCTGGCTGTCCAAGAGGGAGGCAGAGTCAGGACAATGACAGGACAGGCTGGAGCCCAGCCAGCTGCTCAGTCACTTAGCAAGACCTCGCCTCAGAACTGAAAAGGGACTGGGAATGCGCAGCTCAGTGAGAAGGCAAGTTAATCCCCGGTACCACCAAAATATGGATGAGAGAGTCGGAAGGGAGACCACCAAAGGAAAAGATCTTCAGAGCAGCTGGGGCACCACAGTGGCTGAGCTGGCTCCCTGGGGAGCAGAGTCCAGGAAGGAGGACCCCATCCTGAAGAGTGTCCTGCCCAAGGCAGAGATCCGTTCCCAGGCCCCAGGTAGTCAAGGGCCAGACAGCTGTGCCTGGGGCTCCTGAGGGACTCCTGTCCCTTCTGCCATCTCCCCAGCCCTCACCACAGACTAAAAACCAATCACCCACTGATGGGAGCCAGGAAGGCTCTTCCGCAGCCTGGCAGTGATCTCACCACACTGCACCCCTTAAGCCCGAGCTGCGGCCCAGCTGCCGTTCCTAAGCAGCCTTCTCTGGAGGGCGTGGGGTCATCCTCGTCCCAGAGACAGGGGCACAGGACCCCCCAGACGAACCCAGAGTCCCAGGCCAGGCCCAGGTCCACCGAGCTCTGTGCAGAGCCTCTTTGGCCTTCAGTGGTGCACCCAGGCTATAGGCAGGTGCCTTTGGTGGAGTGGCTGGGATCTGAGCTCCTGGTCTGGCCGCCGGACTCTCTCCCTACCATCCCTATCTCACTTTGGGCAGAGGAAAGTAGACTGAGGCCCAAATCAGTGCTTTCTAACCTTCTTCCCTTTAAAATCAAGAAAACCAGCTGGGTGTGGCCCTGTGTGCTGTAATCCCAGCTACTTGAGAGGCTGAGGCAGGAGGATGTCAAATTCCAGGTCAGGCTGAGCAGCTGAGCAAGACCCCCCCATGTCAAAGTTAAAAGAAAACAAATAAGTAAAATTAAGAAAATCATCCAGAATCTCCACTTGAGGGGATTCTGTTGATATTCATTGGTTGAGAAAAATACATACTAAACCAAAAGTTACTAAGAACTAAGCCATTTTTAAGTGACTTCAGTTTTACTAATTATAAGTACATTTACATCTTTTTATTGACAGTAAGGCAACATTCAAGCACAAAACTGGTTTTGCTCATGCAACCCCTAGTGGTGATTATCAGAGAATCCTAAGCCCTCCCCCGCCCTGAGTCCGTCACCCTGGCCAGACACGGAAAGGATTCCCTAGGGTCAGGACGAAGGAGACTGGAGCAGGATCTGCAGAGCAGGGCCTGGGCACCAGGGGGGAGCTGGGCAGGATGAACTCCTGCTCAGAGCGCTCCTGGGTGGTGGGACCTGTGACGGAAACACCTCCCAGCAGTTCACAGTGCAGTTTTCCTGACAACTGCGCGCTAGGAAAGGGACTTAGACAATGCCGGTGCCTTCAGGCTAGAAGATATCACTAAGGGCATGAAAAGAAGCAGTCGAGTCTTGGTGTAGAACTGGGGTTTGGTTTTGTTTCCTCGTGTCCTTGCCTCCTTCCTCGCTGTCCCAGCTACCACCCAGCCAGGAGTCTCAGGCCAGAGCGGCTTCAGGATAAGGGTGGTTAAAGACAGAAGTGGCCTGGCTCTGTCCCCGAAGGCTGGGGACTTGGGGCCAGAGGTAACTACCAGAACGGCCAGACTGGCCTCAGAGCGCCCTTCTCCGGAGGGACAGCTGGGTGCTTCTGCTTTTTAAGGAAGTTTGGTTCTGCACAGCTCCGTGTAGTCCTCTGTGGGACCCAAGGCATTGCTGTGCTGGAACCTGACAGGCCCAGGAAATGTGAGCTGGTGGAATTGTTTTCATTTGTTCACGTAATTATATACAGGACGGCTTTTATTAATGCGGCGTTTACTTGGCTGGGGTGCTTTTCTCACCAGAGCTGAGAAGCCAACATTCCTGAGCTGTGAGAACTCAGAGCTCAGAGAGGCTGGAAAGGAACTGGGCAGCGGAAACCCTGCCATCCTGAGCATCAGAGAGCTGGGCACATGCTGGTGTGGAGGGCGTACCTCCACCTCCGTCTCTGTTTCCATAAGGGTTACAGAATCCTAGGAAGAATGAAGGCCGGAGCAGTGATGGCAAACCTCTCAGAGGCCGAGTGCCCAAACTGCAGTCCGAAACTCACTTATCTTTGGCAGAGCGCCGGCCCTGCCCATGTGTGCACTGTCGCCCCTGGGGTGAGGCCATGGGGCTGGTGCGGCGGACAGAGAGGCTCTGTGTGCTGCTGCACATGGGCCACCGCTTCCTCCACATGGGGCTGGAAGATAAGGCCAGGAGGAAGGGAGACAAAAGTGAGCTTCAATCTTTTTAAAAAAAGGCGGTGATAGGATCTGAATATTCAAAGTCTGACGGGCAGGGCTGGGGCTGCAGCTCAGTGGCAGAACGTTCACCTAACACATGCAAGGCCCTGGCTTTGATCCTCAGCACTGGAAAACAAAACCTGAGCAGAGAACAAAGTGGATACAGTTGCATACCCCCAGAGGTATGCAAATTTGTGGCTGCTCCGCTCCCCTCTGTAATGGTACCATATCTGCTGCAACCTACGTACGGCTCCTGTGTGTCTTCAGGGCTCTGTGCTGTGTGCAGTACCCACACGGGCACACGCTATGGGAGTCGCGCTCACCGCGGTTCACAGGACAGTGGCCAGAACAAGTCTGTTCAATACAGACACAGTCCTTTTCAAATACTTTAAATCCAGGGCTCACTGAACCTGGGGGTGCAGAGCCCATGGGACACAGTGCCGGCTGCACACACAGCCTCAATGTGCTCTCAGGTAGCAGCTCAGAGAGGCCACTCCCAGGTAGGCGGTACCCCTGAGCCACTCAACGCCCTGTGCTTCCCTTCCCTCTGCCCCATCCTCCTGCCCTGAGGTCTGACTTCCTCTCTTGGGTTTGCAAACAGCACATGAACCTCTGCCTTCACCACCATCCAGATCAGAAATATTCTGGAAGCTGCGGGGCCAGTTCCTCTCCAGGACAAATAAGGTCAGGATGGAGGGGTGGAGGACGATAGCGCCAGGAGAGACCCGCAGCTCTGACAGCATGTCTTCTCATCCCCCTTCCTGGCCTGTCTTCTCTGCATTCCTTTCCCACATCAAATAGGCCTCTCACCTGGGCAAGCAGCACACAAACACGTTTACAGGGAAAGATGAAAAGAGTCTTCCGTAGACCTTACGTCTCACTTCCAACATGGTCCTGAAGCCAGCAACTTCCTCCCCACGGGTGTACACTGCTGCCAGGTCCTCACAGGCTGTCTCAGGAATGGCCCGAGTGTGTGTGTGTGTGTGTGTGTGTGTGCGCGCGCATACACAGGTATCCAGTTTTAAAATCACACAAACGAGCTTACTATGCGCACTATTTCAAACGTGGCATCTTCACTTAGCCATGTGCCTTTCAGACGGCTCTCAGCCTTTCGGGGCTGCCTCACCGAGCTGGCTCCCTGGGAAGGGGCAGTCAGGCTGCTGTTGATCTTTCCCTCTTGTAATAATGTGCCGGTAACTTTTGTGCACACACGAGAGCGCAATAGTAAGATCAGCTTCCTAGAAGAGGAATTGCTGATTTCATTCTCCATCTGCATTTTTGTATTCTGCTAGATATTATCAAATTACTCTTTACAAGGAGCTCTGACTGGGTACCCACCGAAGAGCTGTCAGGGAGAGTTCTTCCCCTCTGTGCCATCCCCAGTTCTACTGTAATCAAACATGATGTCTCTGCAGTCTGGTCATTATAGATACGACCTTTTGGTTGTGATTTACATTTCTTCTATTAGACATATTTTCTAATGCTTAAATGTTATTTGTTTCTCCTTTCCTGTGAACTTTTCTATTCATAAGTGTTTTTTCCAGTAAGTTAAGGATTCTGACTGAAATAAGCAAAATTTTCTCTAGACATACATGTACAGTAAATACCTTTATCCACTTTATCATTTAAGTTTTTATTTTGTTTGAGGTAATATTTCTTAGATGCCCATTCAATTTATTGGTTTTTTTAATGGCTTCTGAGTTTTTTGTGCATGTCTTTCTTAAAAAAGATATACTTGATTCTAAGTTGTAAAATTTTTCTAGATTAATGATTATCATTGTTATGCTTAAATTTTGTCCACTTTGGAATTCATTTTGATATAAAGAGTGAAGTCACCCATCAAGCTGTATTATTACTATTTATCATCAGATACTGTCTGGTTGTTGCAATTTCATGCTTTCTCCAGTGACTTGAGTGCTACTTCTATTTTATGACAGCTTCAGACTAGTTTTTTTTGTTTTTTGTTTTCTTCTGGTACCAGGGATTGAACTCAGGCCCTTGCGCTTGTGAGGCAGGCGAAGGAAACACTGAGCTAAATCCCTGGCCCTAGACTAGTTTTTAATTTACTTTTCTTTCGTATTATTTTACAGTGATCTTCACGTGTGCTTCATTAGCCCTGTTACCACCTTTTGAGCAGTACACCTTTCTTTCTCTGCCCTTTAGCATTGACAATCGGTCCAGGTTTCATTTCTGCTAAAGCTGCTGCCCGCCGAGTGCTGCTGTGCACACAGGCTTACGTCCCATGGCTCACGGGCTCCCCACGGTTCAGAGCCGTCACTGACCCTCTGCACACTAAGGAGCTGCATCCGCCTCCTCCTCAGCCCACCTCTGTGCTCTTCCCAGGCAAGCACATGTCTGTTGGGCACTCCGCTAAAATCCTCAAGCTTAGCCGGGCATGGCGGTGCTGCCTGTGATCCTAGCACTTTGGGAGGCTGAGGCAGAAGGGTCACAAGTTGGAGACCAGCCTGAGCAGTATAGTGATTTAGCAAGACTGTCTCAAAATTTAAAAAGTAAATTAAAAAGCCTGGGAATGTAGCATAGTGTGAAGACCCTGGGTTCAATGCCCAGTACAAAATAAAATCACCTAAACCAACCTGCAGAACTTAAAGGCTAAACTAATAACCCACAGTTAAACCTACGGGAATAACAAAATAGCATCATTACTTTTAATTCTCTGTATGCCAAGCATCGGGACCTGGACTTTACATGTATTATTTATACTCACCTCAGTTACACGGCATAATTACCCTCGCTCTGCCTCCTTTTCAGATGGAGGAGCTAAGGCTGAGAAGATTGAACAGCTCACCCAGGTTCACATAGCTAAGGAGAGGGGATCACTGCCAGTCTAAGCCCGAGCCTGGTGCATATATGCCCAGTATCTATGTGGACAGTCTGTGGGGCTTCTGTCCTCCATCTGTGTGCCCAGAACAAGAGGCACACAACCCCCATGGGAGCAGGAACTGCTGAGACCCTTCATGTCGATTGCAAGCAAATAATGTGTGTGAAAGTGCTTTGTAAACACCATACAAGAGCAGGAGAAGGGAAGGCGTGGGTGCGTGTCGTGCCTGTGGGTGTGCATGTGTGTGCTCCCATTGAAAAGCGGGCCCCGGCTCGCCTCAGTGTGGGCACTGTTGTCCTTACTGAACCGCTCAGTCAGCATCTTATCCCAAACCAGATAGGTGTGTTCCAGGCGGAGAACGCCCCCAGGGTGCCTGCTTCCCCAGCGCTCTGCAAGCTGTGCTTCCCTCCTCTGGGCTCCTTACCCCTCCTGAGCAGCAAACAGGAGCCTGCTGTCCACCCTCACCGCTGAGAAGCGGATGTCAGAGGAGTGTTTCTTTCCAGAAGGTCGCAGGATGCCTCTGGCACCTCTGCACCACGGGGCTGCACTTGAGTGGGGTTTTTGTGTTTTTGTGGGCTCAGTCAGCGGGGAGGAGGCAGAAATTTTACTCGTTTCCCTCGGTTTAATTCTGTATTTCTTTTCAAGCCTAGGTCCCAGATCTCCTGGGCCCTACCTTGCTCTCTCTTCTTTTAGACCCCTCATAACACCCCCTAAAGGACATAGAAACCCCATGGACCCCCCCAAGGGCAGGGAGCAGCCAGGCTGGGGAGAAAAGATCCCCTTTCTCTGGGAATAAAGGAACACTTGGGCAACCTGCTGGACATGGACTTGGAGGTGTGTGGCAGGAAATCCAGCACCCTTCACGGGGTCCTCTGCCAAATTAGCATGAGGAGCCATTTCCTGTGTGCTCCAGACTCCTGGGAACCACCTTCATGTTGAAAATCAGGTTCTTTTCTCCATAAAAATCACTACTCCTCACCATCTGTGTTCTTGGAGAACCATGAATGTCTTGGGGGCACCAGATAACCTTCTGGTGTCAAGGTCAAAGCCAAGATAGGCCTCTGAGGGGCACCAAACTTGGTAGTGAGGAATCAGGCTCGAAAAGATAAAGGTGGCAGTGCTGGAAGGGACGTAGAGGTCATCTGTCTTTGCCCCCTCTGCCTGCTCCCCACACCTACACAGGATACAGGACCCGAGGCAGAGAGGCGGACGGGACAAACCTGCCACAGCTCACACGACCAGGATGTAGAGAGATCCCTGAAATCAACCCTGGATCTCAGTCCCGCACACCAGGCTACCCCTCACAGCAGGCTGGATGAGCCCTCCTTTGGTCCGTGTCCTGAATGGAAGACACGTCACCTAAAGACTGAGCACAGGTGCCCCACGCTGTAGTCGGGGGACCATTCAGTGTGGCTTCAGGGCCAGCAGCCCCACCGCCGTCACGAGACACAGGAGGAAGGCGAGTAGGAGTCATGAAGTCTTCCCCTTCTTCCTTTCCACAGTCCTGTCCCCCAGGGGAGCCACAGGCCCATGGAAGTCGTCTCACACAGGAAGGGGAGGGGACCCCGGCGTGTGGCCAGCTGTCCCCTTGTCCATCTCTCAGCCTTTTGTCCATCTCTTCACAGCCCCGCTTCCGAGACGAATGCAGGTTCAGAGAAATCCTGCTGCCCAACAATTACAACGCCTATGAGTCGGACGTGTACCGCGGGGCGTACATCGCACTGAGCAAACACGGACGGGCACGACGGGGCAACAAAGTGTCCCCACTCATGACCGCCACTCACTTCCTTCCCCGGATGTGAAGACCCACAGATCACGGCCACACCCGGAACTCTGCACAGTGGACAACACCCCCCACCTTCCGGACTTCTCAGTCAGACTTGTGTCGGGGGTTCTGAGCCAGGGTCCTGGGCCGCCGGACCCCATGCTGTCACCCACTCCGGGGGCTGCCACCAACGTGGAGTGGTGGTGGACACCGCGCTGTGACTTCATCTGGGTGGCGTCTGTAGAATGTGAGCTGTGCACAGGCCTGGCCCGGTAGGAGTGCGCCGGTCAGGACCCGTCATTGCACCTCTGTGTGTGTCCCCAGAGCCAGGCATCTTGGAGCATCAGATTTCTCTCTCGAGGGCGGTGGCGTCACTGCAGGAATTTGCCCACAAGAATGTCACCTGCCAAGGCAGGGAGGGGCGTGCAGCCGTGCTGCGTCTTTCCAGCTCTTTCCCCTCGGAGGCTGCTGACTGCATGGGCCGCGCTGGGGGCCGGTAGCAGCTGTCCTCCAACTGTGGGGAGGGCAGAGAGGGCGGGCAGATGGGTTAACTGCAGCCAGAGGAAGAGTGGGGGACTCTCCGAGTCCACGCCTGCTGGGACTCTGGGGACAATGGGGCATGTCGCCAGGGACGGTGGAGTGTGTACAGGAGTCCGCCAAAGACAGTGAGGGTTGGATATTCTGAGAACCCTTTGGGGTGTGGCTCCCGGGCCAGGCAGGGGCCAGGCTGCCTGCCCATAACGTCTCCTCACTTTGAACTGGACCTTATTTTAACCTCAGATGACAAGGATCCTAATAATGGCAACCTCTTTGGCAAGGAAGGAGGTGCAAAATAGGGCACGGAGGAAGTAGAGAGGCTTTGGACTGCAGACGACCATTCCTCTCCAGGTATGTCCAGGAAACTTGCCCAGGTTCTCACCCGATGCTCTTACTTCCTTCTCGGCTGCCCTCCCCTCGCACGTACTATAGCCTGGACTCAGTAGAGGGGATGATGCCCTCCGGAGTTTGCCCACTCAGCTCCCCACAGTGGGTGCTGAGTGCTAATCCCAGGGGACCAGGCAGCCAGGCCGGAGCTGCTGCTCATGGTGCAGTACCTTCCTGCCTGCTCTCCCGAGACAGTATTTACAGAAGTTACCGAGCAACGCCCAGTGTGGTCTGCATGGAGCCTTGGATCCCTGACCCAGTGGAATGTTCCTAAATCTGAAACCAGAGAAAGCCATAGCAGAGTGCAAATATGTTCCCGTTACAGAATGCCCTGGTTCCCTTGGCTGCTCCTGGGCTCAACCTGTAGCTGCAGGCAGATTTCTGGGGCAGGGGCTCTGACTGCCAGCAGGGCCTGTGCAGCTCTGCTATGAAGCGTTTTTGAGTATCAGCCCTGGATGTGTGGTGCATGGTGGATGGTTTTAAACTTTTTTAAGCAAAGGAATCCTCTCAAGGACTCCATCTGCAACCTGTGACTGGGCTTAGGGACGTCAGCTCCCACCCTCAGAAGTGGGTCAAGCAATGGGCCCGAGACCCTCACTCCACTCCGAATGGGTGGGGCTTCTCCTGCTCATGTGGCACTGAGCCTTCAGCTCCAGATCCAAAAGGCTCAGCGGGGAAGCAGGGTGAGCCCCCTCTTGCTGGAGCCCTGGACTGTGAACAGCTCTGGTCCACCTCCCCAGAGCCAGCGCAGTAACCCTGGCTGATGGAGCTGTTTTGGTTTCTTTCCAAAGACTAGGATTGAGGCTAGGGGCATTCTAGCCCTGAGCTGGATCCTCAGGCCTGCTATAGTCATTATTGTTATTATTTTTTGAGACAGGGTCTTGCTGAGCTCCCAGACTGTCCTCAGTCTTGCAGTCCTCCCAGCCCAGCCACATGAGCAGCTCCGAATACAAGGCCAACAGCAGTGCCTGCTGGCTTATAGCTCTGCGGCTAACTGGCCTCTCTTTGGTCCAAAACACCCCCTGGCAGCTCCCTGTGCACTCGGGCTCCCAGGAGCCGGAGGAAGTTTACCCTTTCTTCAAGGACAAAGAGTAAAGAAGAAAACAGCACATGCTGCGGACAGACTTCTCAGCTGGGAGGAGGCTGCTCAGAGCAAGGGGGCCCAGGACCCTCTCCAGGGAGGTGGACAGACCTTGTGGTCCTAGGAAACCAGAGCCCTCTGAGACCCTTGCCCATGCTGTTGATTACGCTGTGTCTCCATCACTGCCCTTAACACGTCCTCCCTCCCTACTTTCCATACATTTTTAAACTCGCCTCGGAAAGCACCATTAGCTCTGTAATGAATTCCTCATTACCGTCCTGTATGCCTGCTCCCCGGTCACCACCCCACAGTCCCTCCAGCACCCACACTGACGCTCATCCACGCCTTGTGAAAGAGAATGTCCTCTCTTGACCTCTGATTCAGGACACAGATCTCTCCCCTCTTTAGACTTAGAGTACAGGTCTCTCTCCAGGCTGATACTCAGCCAGAAGTTCTCTCGCATCCCTAGCCTTCCCTGGCAGTTTGGAATTCGCCTTCAGGACATCGACTCGGGTGCAAGGCAGAGGGAAGAAGGATGCGGAAGCCGCCACAGGCTGCAGCTCTCCCTTCCAGCACATCTGACCCCGTTGCCTTTGCTGTGTGGTGCTGTGGTCAGGAGCAGACACGGCTACCGAATTCAGCTGCCAGCCTAAGGTCCAGGATGTCCCCTCTGCCCTGTGTTCCAGTTTCCCTTTTCATGTGGACACAACCTAGAAAACTCCCTCACCTTCTGTTTCTATGCTTCACCCCAACACCCAGCTGGTGTGAGAACATGTCTGTGCCACCAGCCTCCCCATCTTCACCCCATCACAGCTGCTCCTCCCTCCGTGCCGAGAGAGCCAGCCATGCCTGTCGTGTCTCTGATAAACCCACTATAGGGATCTGCAGGATAGAGCTAGGATAGATAGAGATGCCCCAGCAGTGCTTACACCTGAGCGGAGCAGGCCGTGACTGCAGTCAGACCCCGCCCCCAGGAAGCCTGCAGCCAGCGCAGAATCCTGTTTGTGTACCTCACCGAACCCCTGAAACTCCAGCGGCACACAGCTGAGACTGACCAGGGACCTTGGGCGGTCCTGGTGCAGAGCTGTCATGGGCTCGAGCACAGCAGTAGGAAAACCAAACGCTGTTCAGTTGTGTGCTTCTGACATGTAAGGCTTCTGTTTGTTAAATATGTATGTGCTATGCACAAATCATATCATGTTCCAGCAAAAAGTAAAAGGTCTTTTTATATGTTTCTCTAAACTGACTCCATCCCTCCGATTAAAACAGATGGCAGATCTTTGGTTGCAGCAGATTTTCCTCTTGATTCTCTTCCCCTGCTGGGGGCACAGCAAGGGGGAGACAGAAAGCACAGGCGGTTGGTGCCGTGGGTTACACGGGCAGGAGGAAGCCCGGGGCTCACCTAGGCCCCAGCCCCGTCTCTTCCTCCCACCTTAGTCACATCAGATACCCACACTCTGCGCCCGTGGCCCTCACTCACTCATTCTCTCATCCACCCACCTGAACCCCCTCCCCGCACCAGGTACATGAGCGAGCCAGGTAGACGGCACCCCACCCTCTCGCAGGTGTGCGCTGTAAAGGTCACCCCGCAGACCATGGGCCGAAACCAGGAGGAGCCCGCCTCCTTGAAGCCGCAGCTGTCAGATATTTTGTCCCTGGGGTGGGAAGGAGGCTGAGACACCTGTGCAGGATCACTGAGGATTCAACTGAGAAGACGCTGGGGAGAGGTTTCTGAAGTGTAAATCACTGCAGAACTGAGAACAACAGTGGATTCTCACGACGGTCTCTCCTGGCGATGGCTGGTTTGAGCCCTTTGCCTGAGCAGGGACTCATCTGATTGTTCCTTTGCCACCCACACAGGAGGGCAGAGTTAAACTATTCGCTTTCCCTGCTTATTTCTTAGACTAATGTGGTTAGAGAGAAGGAAAGAAGAGGAAGGGGAGGGGGGAGGGGAAGGGAAGGGGAAAACAGGAGCGGTGGGGAAAGAAATACTTAGAGCACTCTGGCGGTTGGCGGGGTGGGGTTGTCACACGGTCAGGACACGACTGTTAGGGACAGAGGCCACAGTGTGTCCCTACTGAGACATCTGTACATGCTGCCCCCTGAGGGTTCTTCTGCTCAACTTTCAAAACATCATGTCAGTGAAACCAGAGCTTATAAATCAGAAAAAGAATCAAACCCTGCTTCCCACAGGGTAGAAAGTATTTTCCTCGTCAGTTTGCTGAACTCTCCAACAAAACAGGCAGGGCCATGTTTTGCTCTGGAAAATCCTATCATTTTAATGCCATGCATGGTACAAACTCAAGCACAGCCGTGGTATAGCTGGTGAGTTCCAGGGCCCATCTCTCCTCCTTTCCCATGCACACTTAACCCTCACTGCAAACACCCAAAAGGCCTATGATTTTTAGTTGAATATTTTCTTGCTGCTGTTAAGTCCACTGAAAACAAGACACTTACCCTAATACCCTGTTGTGTTTTAAAGTAGCCATGCCTAAGTGTTTAGATATTGAAATACGAGGTATTGAAGTTACTTTCATTTCTCCTATAGTAAGGCATTAACTATATTAAAATGGTATGTGTAGCTCAGTTACAGGGACCACAAGCTTCACTTTGGGCAGCATGGACAGCACCCTAAAGTATCTCTTCGGGGTGGCAGGGGCACAGAGAGTGTGTCAGCTCCTTTAACTAAAGGATGTAACATTCGCCCATCAGGAGCCCCTGGCCGGGTGACCAGGGCAGATGGAGAATTGCCCCGGAAGTGTCCACCCGGCCTCGCTGTCCTGTGGTTTCCTTGTAAGGTCTGTCTCAGCAGTGCTAATTCCAACTGACCCGAATTTAGCCCAGTCTGGGCACCTAAAGCAAGAATCAGGGGCAAGGCCTAGCAGTTGCTGATAAAAATTCATCCTCTGCATCCAAAGCCCCAGGTCAATCCACGATCCTCCCCGGCTGTGACTCGGCCGTGGCCAGTCCTACAGAGTGATGGGGTCCTTTCGCCGGTTCTGCCCCGGGGTCCCCAGCCTGCTGCCCAGGCTGCATCGGGCCCACCATCACCGCCGG